CTAACTACTAACTATCACATCCCATTTTTGAACCCCCCCTAGTCAACCTCGAGTGTTACCGAGAAGAAGAATTTGAGTAGACATATCTCTTACTAACATTTATCTTGAATTATTTCCATCAGAATTATGTGAGTAGAAAGTAATATATTCAGATTATCTTAACACAATGCAGTATTTTTAGTTTAACAATTTATATACATATTTCATATTTGAAAGCATATTCAGAACTTATCAAATAAGATACAAAGCTTACTAAACTTGTCAAATGAAATTTACATACCAAAAAGTCTGACTGTATAGCTTCCTAATCTGCCTTCTATGTACAACCAAAACGTATGTAAACAAAATACCTTAACCCTCCTGCCTAGAGCCCACGAACTGTTTCTTTTTTCCTACAGTACAACCACTGCTAATGAGCTAAAGCTCAATGAAATAAACAGTCAGAGTACAAGAAATAAAAAAATATATAATTTCCATTCTATTGTAAATGATATCTTAATTTCTATAAGAATCATAAATTATATCAATGCATAACAATACTAATAATTATATGTATTCTTTAACTTTCCAGATTTTTTTATTCTGTTTATTTTTTAATACTTTAAACTGTTTATTTTCTAATACTTTAGACAAGTCATATAATGACTATAGGCTTTTGCACACGTACGACTTTCTCATTCAAGATTGGATTCAAATTTTCACTTTTTAAAAGTGAGATAGAATTGGGTACCTACTGTACGGCCCCTAAAACTTATCTCGTCAAGTCTTTCATCTTTACTTATGTGGGTCTATTCCCCATATATGACTTATGTCATTAGCCTTTTCATTTACCTATTCAATAAGCTTCACATTTTAATAACATGCACATGAATATCCTGTAAATTAGCTAATGAACTAGTAAATAAATACATGATGAAACTGAAAATAATGCTATCACAATCATATAAAAATGTCACAATTATAAAATGTTATTATTTTTTATACCTCAGTTTAGGTATCTCACCTCGTTCTATAGAGTAATCGGGTGAATTTGTTCTCCTACAATACCCCTACCTCCTTTCCTCTTGCATACAACCAACAAATAAATTTTTACTTTTCATACATGCATTCAAATAAGATGCAACAGGCTATACGAAAATCTTACAAGTTTACCTCAATTGCACTCCTCATTCAAGCCAAAGTTTCTCACTTCCTATTCCCTTCTTCTTGTCTTTTCCTTCCCCTTATCTTTTTCCTCTCCTTCTTGAAATTTCCCCCAGTAGCCTGCAGGTGCCTCCGCTCCAGCCTTCCCGATTCTCCTCTTACTCTCGTGGCCTGTTGCAGCTTCCAGAGAACAAAGTGATGGACGAGTGGGAGGAATGGAAGAGAGAAATGCTATAGTGCTTGATATACAAATAATTTAATACACTAACCCATTTCAACCATTCACAGCTATGTGATCTAATGGATCAGCCATTGCTGCCCTTCATGCGATTTTAAGTGGAAATGCTATAGTAACCATGTCATAACTTGACATGTAACTAAATAATTTAATTTTAATTAGCAGGTAATAAATAAGTTTAATTAATATGAAATGCATATATATATACATATATATATATATATATATATTATTAAGCTTGAAATTAAAAATAGGATGTAATGAAAATAACTTAGATGTTTTATGGAGGAATGAGAAAAATGGGTAACTTTTGTGGCAAATTTTTATGCTTATATTTTTAAAAAAATTTGAGTATCATCTTAACCTTAATTGAATGTATTTCTTCATTATAAGGAGGGATAATTTACCATAAGGGCTTGCACTTATGAGAAACCTAGAACCAGACCATAACGTCTTCACAAAATGAGGGAGAAATTTTTAGATAATGAAATTTTTAGATAATGTCTTATCTTAATTTTAATTTGCTTTCTAAAAATTAGATCCGACACCATCCTTAAAACTCAAGCAAGAGGTCGGGGCATGAATTTTTGGAGCCTACAACCTTTATTCTTTCCTATTGAAGCTTGTGTTTTTGACTTCAATCCACTCGCCAACTCTCCACCATCCTTGAGAGATTGATGGAGCTCAGTACATAGAAAAGGAAGGATGTAAGGAGCAAAGTTGTCTAGTTGTCTTCCTAATTGCGGCCCATGCCATCCTTCCCTCGTATTGCAGAGTTCACATGCTTGTGTAGCAGCTAGATCCAAGGTTTCTCTTTTAGAAGTGTTCAAGGCCGCATCTAAGGAGTTCATGTGATTTTATGCGTCATTGTTAACATTGGATGCAAAGCAAAGAGTCTCTAATAGTTGAGCTATAAGTCCTAGTATTTTAGGGCCTTTTAATAGCCGCGCAAACTTAGCACCAACCAAACTCCTCTAATAATAGAATCTCAAGCAATAGTTTGGATTGTAAGTCTTACTTTTTGGGATAGGCTTACTCCCTAATCTAGCTAAGTGGGTTGGCATAAGGTGAGGTTATAAGATCTGTTTTTGAGCCTTCATCTTATGAAAAGATTGTTAACTCATGGGATTCTCCAATATTGGATCAATAAGACCCACACCTAAATTTGCAACACACTCAGGGTTGTAACTCCTAAATCTCAAGCATCGTTAATATTTGAGGGATAAGCCTCAATCCTTAATCCTGTGGATCAAATATCTAGAAGACCCTTGACCTACTTCAAAGATCCTTGGGTTGGGTTACATTCTTGTTAAGTCCCAGAACTTACATTAAAGCTAAGCTATATTACTATATGTCCTATTTTGCTTTTCTTGCTCAGAGGTTTGTCTCGCTTCATAATTTTTTTTCACCGTGTGGTAATCCTAATTTGAATGATTGGGTTAACAATTATTCCATAAACACTCTCTAGCTCTAAACCCACATCTTATGGACTTACCTCACACTAAAGATGCAGTATACTTCCTCAAGCTTTTTTTACACTAAAAGATGCAAGCCGTAGTTCCTCTGCCACATTACATTTAGAGTTGTAAGTTGGACTTCCCAACATTGGGATCTTTCTGCCTAGGTAAATCCTAAACTCACTAAAGCAGACATCTCTTTGAACTTTTTCTTAAAGTAGTATTTTGAAATGAGCCAAGCTTAATAAAATCATGTATCCTAGGAGTGTCAAAACGGGTTAATGGGTTAGGTTCGGATCCGACCTAAAAATGACCCAAACCGTTTAATAAATGGGTCAAAAATTCAATTCATAACCCGATTTGCTAGCAACCTGAATGACACGAACTTGACTCATTAATCCTTTTTTATTAAATTTTTTTAATAACTTATTAACTAAAAAGTTTAATATATTTGATAAAAAAATAAGAAGATTATACTTACAACAAGAAGATTATACTTAAAAGTAAAAAAATTAAGGAAAAAAAAAGATATTGAACAGGTCAAAAATGGGTTGTTGGGTCAACACGAACCCAACCCGTTTAATAAAAAGGTCAAAAAGCTCAAACCCGAATCTGGGCCATTTATTAAACGGGTGAACCCGAACCCGTATTTTTCCAGGTCGGGTCATTTTTTGACACCCTAATGTACCCCTTTTTGAGACGACTTATATATATGACAATCTCTCCTCTAGCATGTAGATGATAACCTTAAGAGCAAAGAATGGACAATTACGTGTTAGGCTTTCTAATAAAGGTTCCCTATGACACAACTCCTGTGCACTCATATGCCTTAAGATACTCTTTTATTGATGGATTCAAGATTCATTCTGGAACAATTAAATTGTTATGCCTTTAAGCCACATTGGCCTCTTTTATTGTGCCTGTAAGCCAATTTTAATATGAATTGGTCAGGCACAATATGGTACATTATTAATGGTTATTTCCCTGCTTCTTTAAATTATGATTAACAGTTTAACACTGTTTGTTAAACATTAGATCTACTTTGAAAGGGATTTCCTTTCAATGCAACCTTTTCTGTGTCTTAGGATGCATTCCCTTTGGGCTAAGCTAACTTGACCTTGGACAACTAAATTTGCCATGTCAATGCCTCTTGGCTGATCTAGCCATGTATATCTTTAAGCCATCTTTGATATGAAATGGCGAACTCTATGTGTTGTACTTTCATGGAAATATAGTCAACCATGCTGGTAAAAACCAATATGCCCTATGGGATTTTTCATTCTAGATGAACTTTGCGTCTTATCTTAAGGTATACCCCCTTGGCATATTGCCGCCTTGGTTTATTGGGTGTATCTAATAGAAGACAACTCATGGTGATAATTAGACTTCCTAAATAACTTGGCCTTTTGATCCTCTATCGTTAGTAAACTTGGTCTGCTAGGTCAACTTGGGATGAATAAACTGGTGATCTTGATCAGATTGACTATTCATATCTTGTCCATTCTTTCTTCATAAATTGAAACACCAACCACCAATTTACAATGCAATAAATGTCTGTAATTGATAGTGTTTTTAGTTTTGTGTTTGGGATGTGATTAATTATAGGAGCTTATGTCTAAGGGAAATCTCATATGCCACATCTTTTAAATAAATACAGTTGACCTTGACAGCTAGATTGAGGAAAGTCTCAAGGAAATCCTCCCTAGACAGCTTTTGAAACTTCAGGTTGCTCACCATCCATTCTCTAGTCTCCATAGAGCATCATGGGTGCTTTTAGAACTCACATTGATCTTTTTAATTGAAAAAAAATGTTTCTTGCCTATAGGGTCACCATATCTATAGTTTTAGTATTTCAACTCTGCATTTTTTTATTCTCTGACTACTGTGCATGCACCTGTTTCGATTTCCCCTCTTCCTTGCACCTTTTGAGCCATCTTGAAAACTCCCACCTTGCTTTTTTAGTAGTGCGAATGGTCATCCATCTCAGATTACCAAAGCATCATTGAAAAATTGTCTAACGAATTTGACCCTTCAATGCTTATGAAAGATACGCAGATTATAAGAGAACACGTTCAGTAGCAAAACATAGAAATTAAAAACCGGCTCATGTAAGGAATCCTTATTATCCAATGTTAGTTGTGGAAATTATTTGACATCTTTGCGTTGCCTTTCTCTATTGGCAGTTTGGAGAAGTTGATATTGACAGTACACTCGTTGCTGATCATTCTTCCGTGGCTGAGGACATTATCATGGTTAATAATGGCTGTCTCTGTTGCACTGTGAGGGGAGATCTGGTGAAAATGCTTCTGAAATTAGTTAAAGAAAAAAGAGACAAATTTGACCGTATTGTTATTGAAACTACAGGTACCATCTTTGCCCTTTTAAAGCTATGAACTGTAACTTAAATGCATATAAAGTTGGTATCTTGGAATGCACCGTCTTTATTGTCTACTTGTATAGGTAGATTACACTCGCGTTATGCTATGTGACGCAGGTTCTGTTATCTGTGTTAGTCAAAACTGCTATTGCTAAATTTTATGATTGCACAGTATATATGGTCAATAATCCGCTTCTTGTGTTCAAATCTTATATAACCTACTGCAAAAATTCTTCTCTTAATTTATTACTGGTATCGTGATACACATTGTGCTGTGTTTGTTTATCCCTGCTAACTGTAAATAGTATTATCTCTTCCTTGCAACATTTATTTACAGCTAAATTATTGATTTTTTGTGTGCGTGCTTATATACTGATCTTTTTATTTTTTCTCTATTTTTTTTTGTGTCCACAGGACTTGCTAAACCCTCTCCTGTAATTGAAACTTTCTGCTCAGATGAATTGGTTGCAAGGCATGTAAAGCTCGATGGTGTAGTCACTTTAGTTGACTGTAAGCATGCGATGCAACATTTAAATGAAGTGAAGCCAAGATGGGTCGTGAATGAGGCAGTAGAGCAAGTTGCTTATGCTGATCGGATAATATTAAACAAGGCGAGTCTGCATTGTGCATTAACCCAAAGAGTTTTGTTTTAGTAGGCCTTTTTTATTGTTTTTCACCATATGTTCTGAAGGAATTTATTTTCCTTGCAAAATTACAATTGCATTTGCTTTCTTTAAATTAGGTTTTTTTGGTATTTCCTTTATTGTGGCAGATAGATCTAGTAAGTGAAGCTGAATTGGAAACCCTGGCTAAGAGGATTAGGGTATTTTTCTCTTTTTAGATAATTATTTGTAATTTCAGTATATTATGAATTAAATGGTGAATGACTACAATTTCTATAACCAAAATTATTATTTTCATAGAATATAAATGGGATGGCACAAATACAACAAGCTAAATTTGGAGCTGTTGACATGGATTTTGTCTTAGGGGTGGGTGGATATGATCTTGACAGGTCATTGGTTCTATCTGTGCTTCTGTGTTGTTCCTTCTCAGCGAGCATATAACATTATTGTAATTGTTCTTCTGAGTTCATACAAAAGCTCCATTAATTAAAGATTTTTTTTCCCTTTTACAGGATTGAGTCAGAGATTCATGTTGATTCAAACCAGCATGCTGTGCATCATTGTGAACATGGGCATGGTCATTTCTTGTGTACTCTTAACAAAGATCAACGTTTCTTTTATACCTGCTTAGTTGTTTATGTTATTCATGTTACAATTTATCAATCTTAGGGTCTATTTAAGAAAGTTTTTTTCGCAAATTTGCTTTTTGGTGGTTGTCATAGTTCTATTTGACTATAATGGTCTTATTTTATTTCAGATATTTTTGTGATGGAAAGTAACTTCTTACAATTAGATTTATTATAATGTTGTAGCTATAAAAAAGTAGTTGTCGATCTTTTTCGAAAGAAAAATGTGTGAAGTACTTACAAAAAATAAATATTTTTTTTTTCTAAAAATAGTTCTACAACTATTTTTACAAATAGCCCCAAAGAGTCCCCTATTATCTTCATAGTTCATCTACTAGGAAGCACAAACACCACTAAGAGCTCCTTCTTTGCATGTTCTGTATGAGTCTTATGTAGGCAGCTAAGAAACATTTTCTTTGTTTGCTTGTTTGTTAGGCAGAGATTTACTTTATACGTCTTTTACTCCGTCCCAATCCTTTCCCAGTTGCTGCTCTTTTTTACACACCATAGCTACTAATGTTTTCTGGAATTTTGCATTTTATGGTAATCGGTTGATGTGTATCTTCCTTGACTTAACGTGCTCTCGTTTGCATTGTATTCACATCACATTAAGCTAGTATTGAATTGTTTCGTTATTGTTAAAACTATGATAAACATGAAATTGTCTAAGTTGAGCTTGATGTACTGCGGATTAATAATATTAAAGTTAATCTACTTCCCAATTTATATCATGCCTTCGGAGTTTCTTTTCAGTGCCTTGTGATAAGTAGTGATATTATCAGCATTTTTGGTCACCTGTTTGAAAATTGTGGCAATATTAATAATTCTATACTCCCTCACAGGCAAAATAGGGCCACATCAGCTGTTACGCCAATAAAAGATATGCAACTATGGGGTCCCTTATCCGAATATAAGAGTTTTTTCAGACATAAGCCATTTTTTTATTTTTTTTTCACATATAAGAAATTTAATCCAGATATATAGTTTATCGGATGTGAAGCTTTGATATAATTATAATATTTTTAAATATAAGGTTATGAACCCAAATATAAGGTTATGAACCCAAATATAAGGTTGTTTTAGATGTAATATGTTAGGTTGATTAAATATTTTTTCTTTATCTTCTAAACTGGGTCTATGTATGTGGATTATTAAAGGGGAGAAAGAATTGGAATGATTATATCTTAATTAAATTAATATACTAATACAAGCATATATGTACCTATATATAGACAAGAAAAAAAATGAAAATAAAATAGAGGAGAATATTTTATTTTTCTCTTTTTGGGATGTGACCCGGTAATAATATTGTTAACTAATTTAGACTGATAATTTAAATACGGTAACAAGTATTATTCATTTGTGTGGTCTTGTACCTCCCCTCATTGTATCATTGTGGTAACAACTATTATTAATTTGTGTGGTCTTGTACCTCCCTTCCATGGTGCATGATTGTGTTTTACTTGCTGTACCATTTGGACTTTTATATCTGAGTAGATATTTTTGTAACTATTGAACTGGGGTCGCTTACTGCATCTTTTGAACATTAGTGTTTCGAGCTTACATGAATTTATTCTTTGGTCCGTATTCCTTTCAGATCATCATGATCATGTACATGATTCAGCAGTCTCTAGTGTCAGCATTGTTTCTGAAGGAACTCTCGATCTTGATGAGGTAATTTTTTGTTTGAACTTTGTTTATTACAACATGAATTGCGATGAAGTTTCTGCACGATTTGAACTCCTATTACTTTCTACTTCGACTCGCTTTCAATATATTTGTTCATTTGACAGTTCAATGATTGGGTTGAGAGATTGGTTGATGAAAAGGGTGACGACCTTTATAGAATGAAAGGTGTTATATCCGTCAATGAATCTACAGGACGCTATGTTTTTCAGGTTTACTTACATCAGTCTCGCTGAATTTATTTATGTTCTTTCTCGTTAGGACTCCTTAGTGATTTAAAGCTAGAGAAGTAGTTTAAAAAAATGGAAAAGATTTCTAAATCCATCATTTGATTGAATTCCATTTGAAATCAAAGTTTATTTCACGCAAACCCTCTTTAAAATCTCCTTGGTTGTAATGATTTTTTTTTAATGAGATGAAATTTTCTCGATTTTTCCGTCAATTTATATGTTTTTTCATCTATCATTTCTTATAATCTTTGAACCCAAAATGACATCAGTAATTGTGACCTATAACATAAGAATTACATGCTGAATGAGTTTCATCAATTTTATAATTTAGGCTTTGTTTGATACGGCTTTTTTGTTGCTTCCTAAAACAGATTTTTAATACAAAAATTCTAAAACTCTGTTGTAGAACGCTGCCCGAAATGAAGCCTTAATCATTCATCACATATGAAAAATATGATGATTGGAAATGTAGCATCTTTGCAAACATCTAATTAATCCATATATCTCACAAATAAAAATTGTCCAATACTTATTAAATACCATGAAGAAACTATGTGTTTCATTCCCAAGACATGTAAAAGACTTTAATACTTTGAAATCACAATAATCTTCTCAGAGCAATTTATTGTGAAATTTTTTATGCATGATAATCAAACGAACATAAAAATTCTTGAAATTACGAATAGCACACAAGTTCTCATGTTGGTAAAAGTAATGAATGATTATCATATATTTGAGAGCAGGGGATAGTAATTCTCCTCCAAGAATAATAAAAGTTCTCCTTTTTCAAAATCATATCATGATAAATGAATCTATCTTATGTTTCTATATGTTCAGGGAGTGCAGTCAGTAATTGATGGATGCCCAGCAAAACCCTGGGAATCTGGTGAGAAGCGGATCAACAAACTTGTATTTATTGGAAGAAATCTGGATGAAACTGCTTTGAAGAAAGCTTTTAAGGGTTGCTTAATTTGAAAATTACATATTACTTATTTGGAAACAAACATCAGTACTATTGCTGAAGGAAATCTAATTGAAGCATGTGAAATCAGAGATTGTTTTGGTGATTAAACTGTTATTGGGAGCTTATTAATGAATATTTTTTATTGTTTAAACTACATTAAGTTTTGTTACTGTTTAGTGACCTTTGTATAGGACAATGAAAACTGTACAATAGATATTTGGGATCAAATTAATGATCTCTATGATATTGAATCATCCTGAAACAACAGACTTGGAATTGATTGGTATTATGAAAATTAATCGCTATGATAGTATATCTTTCTTTTACATTTATTAGTTCTGCAAAAGTTGCTAATTGATTATTCCAGGCTTGAAGAAAATCTTGTTGGGTTGTAAAATTGCCTGAGTTTTATTTAGTTCTTACAAATGCTACAAAATAATCATGCTAAAAATGTCATATTTGATTATTAATTTTTTTTCTAAATTAATAAATGATGTATATGTAGCAAAAAATTTTATTTGTGATAATCAAGCATATATAAAACACAAAAATGGCGGAACGATGGATGAAACTTTTGTTAAAATGGTAGGAATTTGTGTTTGATCAATCAAAATTTTGTGACTTTTGACAGCAGCAATTCTGCTGTTTTTTACTCTATTCTTTTGTCTCGCACATCAAATACTGAATTTTGATTCTAAAATAAGGTAAATTGTTATGACAATTCAATTGTATTTTTATCTTAATCATAAATTTAAAATTTTCATAAAAGCTTTAAATATTTTATTATAATATTATAATCTGAATGCTAATCCAATAATCTAATATTCAGGCCTTGATTATGCTCAATAGACCATCCAATCGTAAGCTGTCTTGTTCAACTGTAATGGTCTTATATGAGAGTTGCTGCAGTCAGATTTCTTACAAAAAAAGAAAATTTGAAGTGAATTGATCCATTCTTGAGATCTTTCTCGATCTCATGATGTTTAAATTGTGAATTACGGTTCCTTTTATAGCTTTTTCTTTTTGTAAGTGAATGAGCAAATAAATCATTCTCTTTATAATCTGATACTAATTTCGTTTATGCGGCGATAGAGTTAGAAATTTTTTATATTAACGTTGTAAGTATATATATCACATAAATAGAAGAAAAATGTAACACCAGATTTTTTATGTGGAAATCCTAGAAAAGGAAAAAAATCATGGGGTCACATCAGTTGAAAGGATTTCACTAGTGTTTGCTTAGATTGCATGTGGCTGACTTGTCCCTGAAATTGAGGATGATCAGATTACAATAATCAACTCACAGGTTGAAATTCAGCTACAAACGGAGATCGAAAATTTGGCGACGTTTGGTGGTCGGACGAAAATCTGACTTCAATTGATGGTCAGGCAGAAATCTGGCGTTAGTTAGCTGTCAGGCATAACTTTGGCGTAAGTCTGTGGCCAGGCAGAACTCTCTGGCGTCAGTTGGCGATCTGGCAAAACTTCGGCGTCAATCGACTATTAGGTGGAAGTCCGGCGCTGGTCGAGGAGGAGTCTGATGTCAATAGAGCTCTCTTCATTCTCTTCCTTTTCCTCCTCCTCTTCTTGCTTCCTTGCTTCTTTTTCTTCTCTTCTTACTTGGTTTCACCCTCATGAGAAATGAGGGTTATATTTATAGTTTTTTTAGAGTGGCGTGGCTAGTAAATAAGAGGAAAATCAAGGATAAATTGAGAGTGGTTTGAATGGATGACTAATGTTGAATCCGTTGATCATGTATAATTTACTATGCATTTGAATGTCTTAACGATATTAGAATTTGATGAGCTTGGGCTCTTTGGATGCGCGTCGTCGAGCTACTCGATTCGACTATATGCATGTCACATTCGGAAATTTTTTTGGTAATTCAAATTATGGATCAAAGCTTTCAAACACACTTTGGGTCTCTGATTTGGTCTCATTTGGGCTTGGATTGAATCGAATTTGGTGTTATTTTGTTCGTATTTTCGAGACATTCAGTTCGACTATAAGATTGCTGAAATCATAGTTTAGATGGTTTCCGATAAAATTTTTGAAGTTTCCAACTTGATTTTGCTTTAAGATTCATGCCTGATCAAGATAATTTTTTTTTGATATATCAGTTCCCCCCTATTTTTGGACGTTGAAGCTCCAAAAGTCCAAAAATATATGCCACAATATTTCAAATTGATCGAATCGCAAAAAAATGTCATAAAATTGTTCCAAAAAATATAAATTTGCTCAAAATTGATCATAAAAGCTCCATTGTGTTTTGGAAGTGCCAAAATTGAGCCCAAAATATCAAAAATAGTTTTGGGGACCCAAAAAATGTCCAATTTGGAGTGTCCAGGCCAAAAATTTGGGCCTGAATGCATTTAGGCTGCCAAATGGGTCGACCGTCGCCCGTGCTAACGTACGGGCTGAAGGGCCGTGTGAATTGCCCCTTTGGAGAACATTCATTATATGTAAATTGTATATTTCTTGAATCATGGGCGACCACAACTCCGCCAAAATCCCCCAACCAAAGGAGATCACCCTGCTATTCGATCTGAGGGTCTGAAGAAGACTCATAAAGTGGCCAAAGATGATGATGTCGTATCCACCATAACTAGCGATTTCTTGATCATTTTTAGGAAGAAACTTCACTTCATTAATGATCTTGTGATGAAAGTGCCTGAAAAATTTGCTCGTGATGGTTCCCCTCTCCTGGGACTTTTGATGGTGTAAGAGTTTCGTTTGCAAGCGAGAATATGATTTCCACATCCTATGGAGTTGATTGACATTTTAACGACACATGGAGTGAGTTTGTCCCTGCTTTCTTATAGTTTCATGTGGATCATAATGGGATTTATCATGTTTTTAGAGATCGTGGAGTAGTGTTGTCTCTAGAGTGCCTTTCTCGAATGGGTAGACTTATTGTTGATATGCAGGATCATATCTCTTTCATATCCAAGTGGCTAAATATTTGCACTCGAGACCCATGGAAGAGATGGGTTAATGAGTTTTTTGTGTGCAAAATAACTGAAATCTCCTAAAAAATGGAAAAAACAGAAGGATTTATCCATTCCCCTATACGTTGGAGCAGAGGATTTATTGAAGATGTTCAATCTTCAAGATATTGACACCCTCTACTACGAGGTATGATATTTGAGCAAATATGTAGATGAAGAATATTTATTCAATGTGGGACTATTTACTCAGCTAGGGAGATTACATGCTCATATGCTAAAGAAGTTGGCCAAAGTCCAAGAGGTAGTTATCCAACCTTCAAATGCTCCTCTTAAATGATTAAGGAATGAGGTTGATCTGCATGCATCCAAGAAGAAAAGGGTGGAGGAGATTTTGACAATCCCGAGCAAAAGTCACCATGTCTCTCCATCCAAGTCACACATTTCAGAAGATATTTTAAAATATTAATTTGTTGGTCATCGACGGGCTAAGGAGTTGGCGAGTTCCCTTTTTTTTGCTTTGTTTTTTTTTTTTTTGCATTCTCATAAGGATATGTCCTTTACGAAACTTTTCTTATTGTTTCAGTTGGTGTAATGCATGTATCTTAAAATTGAAATGAAAAAGACCATACATTATTAGAATAATGACTTTGTAAAGGTCAAGTATATATAGGGAGAGAACAAGAAGAAATATGATGGAAAGATCAAGGAGATGAAGGCTGTGGAGGAGCAGCTAGCAGAGTGCAGGATAAAATTGGCTACTATGGAAATTTTAGCCTCTTTATAGAATCAATAGATGGATAGTCTATATATTGAGTTGGTAGATACAGAGGCAATAATCAACCATCATGTTAAAAATCAACAGGTCATTGAGGAGAAGATTGTTACCCAAGAAGGAAGCCAAGTATAAATCAGAGCAGTCACCTTCCAAAGTCATAAAAGAATTCAAAAAGTCTGTTGCCTTCAAGATGATTGTTCAGGATCAAATTTAGGAAGCTCACGACCACATATATGATGTGGAGGTGAAGGCCGTAGAGCTGGAGTGTATGGAGAAAGGTTTCATGAGAGATTTTCTAAAAGGAGTCCATCTAGTGCAGCGTAAGACTAGAGCTGAGATCGAGGGATTGACACCTAGTCAGGCTTTTGGTGACTCTTCTTTAGATTTTGATGATGATTTGATAGATAGTGAGTTGTAGAGGACCTTTTCCCTTGAAGAGGAGGATGATATTGAGATTATGTAGTATTGTTGAAAACGCAAATAAGAGGCTCTAGAGTTTATTGTTAGAGAAGGAAACAAAATCTAAATTAGAGAAGTCACCTTTGAGAGTTATAAAAGAATTTAAGATGTCTGTTGCCTTTAAGATGATTGTCCAGGATCAGATTCAGGAAGCTCGTGACCATATATATGATGTGGAGGTAAAGTCCTTGGAGCTAGAGTGTATGGAGGAAGGCTTCATCAGATGTTTTCTAGAAGGGGTCCGTCTGGTGCAGCGCAAGACTAGAGTTGAAATTAAGGAGTTAACACCTAGCCATACTTCTGGTGTCTCTTCTTAAAATTTTGATAGTGATGAGGTAGAGAGTGAGTTGCAGAAGGCCTTTGCCCTTGAGGAGGAGGGTGATATTGAGATTCTACGGTGTTGTTGAAAATGAGAATAAGATGCTCTAGAGTTTGTTATCAGAGAAGGAAGCCAAGTATAAATCAGAGTAGTCACCTTCCAGAGTCTTAAAAGAATTCAAGAAGTATGTTGCCTTCAATATGATTTTCCAGGATCAGATTCAGGAAGCTCTCGACCACATATATGATGTGGAGGTGAAGGCCTTGAAGCTGGAGTGTATGGAGGAAAGTTTCATCAGAGATTTTTTGAAAGGCATCCATCTGCTGCAGCACAAGACTAGAGCTGATATCAAGGGGTTGACTCATAGCTAGGCTTCTAATGACTCTTCTTCAAGTTTTGATAGTGATGAGGTAGAGAGTGAGTTGTCAAAAGGACTTTTCCTTTGAGGAGGAGGATGATATTGAGATTTTGTAGTGTTATTAAAAATGATAATAAGAGGCTCTAGAGTTTGTTGCCATAGAAGGAAGCTATGTCTAAATTAGAGCAGTCACCTTCCAGAGTTATAGAAGAATTCAAGAAGTGTATTGTCTTCAAGATGATTATCTAGGATCAAATTCAGGAAGCTTGCAACCACATATATGATGTGGAGGTGAAGGCCTTGGAGCTGGAGTGTATGGAGGAATGCTTCATCAGAGATTTTATAAAAGGCATATGTTTGGTGCATCACAAGATTGGAGCTAATATCAAGGGGCTGACACGTAGCCGAGCTTATGGTGACTCTTCTTCTGATTCAGATGGTGA